TGGTTTCGGCGGAAGACCGCCGCAACGCGCTGCAGCTGTACAAGGGCAAGTGCCTCGCCTGTTTGGGCGAAGATCACCCTTTCAAGTTTTGTACTCGCGGTTTCGTTAACGCCACCGGTCTGCTCAATAATGACATCAAGCTTCACATGGAAAAAGATCCCACGCTCTGGAGTAGGTGGCAAAAACGCATGACCACATACAGACGCGCCTCAGGACGGAACACCCAACGTAACAATTCCGCGGGACGCGCCCGCCGCCCATCTGACAAGTCGGACACGAACAAGTCCTCACACACACAATATTCGTCGGATTCCGCTACTTCAGCAAAGAAAGGCTGGAGGGGNTCGTGTACAACCTACTTCTTTGCATACTCCCACCTCTATCCGAACTAGTTTATTTTCTCGGCCCGCCTCCTCTTCGCCCCCCTCATCGTCTGTTGGTGTTGGACATGACAACCCCAATCCGGCAGCACCTTTGTGGTGTGGGCGCCCGGGAGGTAAGACGTCGAGCGGTTCACCCCTGCTCACCTCGTCGTCTCGGGTAACGGAAGGAACCAGAACCTCTTCCTCTACTGTTCGTCAAGATCTTCCTGGTGTTGTCAACCGGGATTCTTCTCAAGCAGTACGCGAGCCTTCTTCTACACTCGTCGGAACATCCGTCGACTCTCCTTCCCCCTCTCGGCTTTCGTTGTCTTCGACCGTCCGCCGACCCCGTGAGACAGCACCTGATGATAAAAATTCTTCCTCTGCTGCCCACCAAGTGCTGACTGCACCACTGCCATCAAGATCAGGTGGTAGTGCCCACCATCCTGTGGAAGGTTCGGCTCCCTTGTCAAGGGAAAGTAGTCAAGAGCGCCCCTCCCCAATTAAATCAAATCCGTTTGTTGCAGGTACGACTTCTCCTAACGAAAAGGTCTCTAATAGCCGAATGGTCTCCGCTAACATTGACCCCGACGGAGCTGCCGCCCATAGGCCGCCCTCCGGAGCACCGAGCGGTGCGACATCGCCCGCTCCTGCCTCGCTTTCTGGATCTTCATTGTCGGAGATGAAGACTCGTCCGCCTGGCCCAACCCCCCCGCCCGTGCCTGGTGCTCGCTGTTTGCCCTTGCGCCCTCCACCGGCCCCTCCGTTTGACGACAAGTGCGAGTATGCTTCGAACGACGTTCTCCTTTTCTGGAAACCTCCATCCGTTTTCTCGCAATGGACTCCCTCGGCTATTGACGTACTGGGGATACGCTGTTCATGTGGTGAGCAATTTATGATGTCTGAAAAAGCGAAGCTGCTTGGAGATATGGCATCGTATGACAAAATTATGACGGCAACTGATCCTAAGACATACAAGTACTTGGGTCGTAAAGTGCGTCCTTTCGACTATGCTGAATGGGAGCGTCGTCGTGAAGAGATCGTGCTTACAGGGTCATATGCTAAATTTGCTCAAAACCCAGCCATGAAACAACATTT